CCCCCCCCCCCCCCCCCCCCCCCCCCCCCCCCCCCCCCCCCCCCCCCCCCCCGCCCCCGACTAACTTAGCCTGCTACCCAAGAGTAAGAAGGACTGCTGCAAGTTCGTCTCCTCTGCCATGGGACAGGTGCGACCCGCCGCCAATCTCGCCACTGCCTCGCCATCGTCCACCGCGTTAGAACGCCGCGGTGCTGCGAGCGTGGGCTGACTGCCGCCGACCGCCGCCGCCTCTCGCCCTCCCTCCGGCAGGCCAACGCGGCCCGCGACGAGCTGTACGACCTGCGCGAGTGCAAGATGAGCGGCACCGACGCGGGCGGCTTTGACCTGTCTGGCGCGCTGATGGAGAAGGGCGACTTCTCGGGCACAAACTTCAAGGAGTCACAGCTCTCAAAGGCGTACGCGCCGGGCGCCAAGTTCGACGGCGCCGACTTTTCGAACGGCGTCGTCGACCGAGCATACTTTAACGGCGCGTCGTTCAAGGCGCGTCTGGGCTCCCGCCTGGCCGTGTCTCGGCCGCATCTGAGCCACATCTGAGCCACATCTGAGCCGCACCGCCGCCGCACCTGCGCCGCACTTGCGCCCCACCTCGGCCGCACCAGCTCGCCTCTCACCTCACCTCCTCGCCCCGCCGCTCTCCCCGCTCCTAAAGGGCGCCGTCTTCAGCAACGCGGTGCTGTCGGGCACGACCTTCGAGAACGCCGACCTGTCCGACACGGACTGGACCGACGCGTACATCGGCATGTTCGACCAGAAGAAGCTGTGCAAGAACCCGACGCTGCAAGGGGAGAACGCAAAGACAGGCGCCCCGCCACACACAAGAGACGCAGATCGGGCCTGGCTGACTCCCTTGGCGGTGCACTCCGATGCCCCTGGGACAGCCCCCGAGAACACACCCATCCACTCCCTCCCTCGAGCTCCAGCCGCTACACGCCCTCCCGTTCGTGCCCGCGCGATGCGCCGGACACACTCACGGTCCAGTATCCACTTGGTACTACCCTGACCTGCGATTCTTGACTTGCGATTCTTGACTTGCGATTCAGACCGTGCCTCTCGCACCGCTAGGCGCCCCGACGCGCGAGTCGGCAGGGTGCGGGCCGAGCGCATGAGCTGTACCAGTCGCCTGGCACGATGCCCCCCCCCCCTCCCGCGGGCTGACGGCCACTCCTCGATTTTGTGTACCCTCCGTGTCGTCTCTGTTAGCTCTCACTGTCCGGATCTCTGCCGCCGGTGACGCGAGGTCGAGTCAATCGCTCCGCTGCGCATCGCTCGCGCGCGGAAACATCCGAACCGTTCTGTGTGATTTAAGATACTCGCAAATGGATGACTCGCTCTCGCACAACCACCGCTACCAAGTACCATGCCACAGAAGACCCTTGTGGGCTACGTGGCTGGGTTCACAGCGATTGTAGGAAAACGAAGGGAACACTTGACGGTCGCGGCCTTCCGACTCGCGCCTCCGCCTCACTGGCACTATTGTAGCCCTAGCCGGTGCGCGTGCAGAGTTGAAGTTCCGGAGTGAAAATTCGAACGCGTTCTCTCACGGTGACCAAAAAATGTCCACCTCAGAGGCACCTCCGGAGGCAGGCCGCCGCACGCCGGCGACACAGCTCCAGCTGTCGAACTGACCCGCAGCTCCTCTCATAGCGGGAACTGTGACAAAAGTTGACTGAGGCGGTTGTCAGGAATCATCATACGGATCACATGGTGGCTCTCTCATGACGGGAGACCGCCCGACCACTCCTGGGTGGCACTGCCACCGGTGTCGCTCGACGTCCTGTCGACAGCGTGCCGACAGCGACACAGACCATGTGGGACGCGTCGAGTATCGACCTCTACTGCTTACCCAGCCTTCGAGTGTATCCTGGCTGTGGTCCCACACCCACTGGTGTCCATCTCAGAGACCGCAGGAGTCATGAGGGTCGATGGGAGTGCCAACCCTACAATGCCTAAAAACCCAGCCCAGTATCCAGAACACCTAAGATCATGCCCTAGAGCTCTCTATAAAGTGGGCCCGAGATATTCATTGAGGCTACACTCCACGAACTGGTCACTTGTAGTGAGCGTCGGGCTGGTGGTTCGACACCGAGTTTGAAAGATCTGTTTCTCACGTCTCTCTTCACAGAGGAAAATCCTAGCCTCCCTCAAGTGAGCCCTCGCGTTCTTAGGTATTTTAGCGCAGTTGATTAGCAGTCACGTGTTGTATAGTTGCCTCCATTGTCGAATGTGCCTTTTGAGATAGTTCGCGGCGGCGGGGCGGCAAAAAAACCCCTTTCAACCGCATGGGCAAAGAAAAAAGAAAAACTCCCCACTCTGCTGGCTGGGTTCCGGCTCCTAGCCAGATAGAGAGAGAGAGAGAGAGAGAGATGCTGCTCGCTGCGATGGCGAAAAACTCGTCTCGTGGCACACCGAGGGCTTATGCTCTGTCGAGACGTGAGGCGTATGCGCCCAGGAGGGGAGGGCGCATGCGTAACGACGCTGCTAGAGATGCCTTTCGGGGCCCAGAGATAAAACTTCTGATGCCATGCGTGACCTAGTAGTGTCCCCAGCTATGGGCGTGTCC